TGTTATGTTTAGTTTACATGGAATTTTTCGTCAAACATTTGAAATGATTCTTTATCCAATAACAGCTTGAACTATAACCGTAATATGTGCAAGTAATCTGTAGTTATAACACACTTTAATCCTAAACCACACTCAATACAAGTTGATGAGTATGAGTATGTGTAGTAACGAGCCTCGGCATTATACTTGAAGTTTAATAGTGACCTACAGTTGAATACTTGCCGACGGAAATTAGAAAACTTTGCGTGGGAATGTTAAATACTTTTTGTTTCTTTGTGAAATGACAGAATGTTGGCCTCGACTCGGACGAACTAACAACACTATTGATGTTGTTATTTGTTATATAAACTATTTTCAACTCAATTCTTTGAATGGTTTCGGTTTAGTTGTTACCGGCCAGCGGGAGTCTTGTTTATAGTTGTAGATTTGGGTACTTGCGCGCGATTTCATCCACTCTACTCAGTTCCTATTGATTGTAGTACGATGTTTTCTGATCTGTAGCTGTTTTTGATAAACGCTCTATCCAACACAAAATTAATTATTCAAATCTGGCCAGTAGTTCTGGAGATTACTGTATTCAAACAAACAAACACTTCAGTTTTATATAATAGTATAACTATAACATTTAATAGTCTGTGTTTTATTATAGTTTCATTGTGTACAAATAAGGTCTTTTATTTATTTGTAAAACTAATAGGAAGCAAAATAAACTGGTTTTAACAATAATAATAACATTTTAATTGAAAAACGTAACAGAATGATATGAGTAATAATATATAAACTACTTAACACATTTTTATATGAATTTAATTGCATTATTGTATGTTTTATGACGTAAAAAATGATATTGAGTAGAGTAACTATAATGTTGATTAGGATTATATTGTTATTAATATATTTGGATCGACGTTTGGCCACTAGTTAGGCTTTAAACATACTCAGCATCCAATGAGTATTCATTATAAAATTTTAATCGCAATGCTTTTCCCCCGACGGAAAAAATGCGTGACCAAGTAAAAACCATGCCATACTTTTTATTTGTAGATTTGACTCCATGGGATTTAATTTAAAGGGTTTTTAAAGCAGTCACTTAGTCATACTTAATGTAGAGATTTATAATGTTTTCTAATATATTATTCATCTTGTGAACTTTTCATTAATTGTTAAGGTTTTTTTAAGGTTAAGGTTTTCAAAAGTTTGAAAGCTCAAACGGCTTAGCTTCGTGACACGAAACTTTCATTATCCTATTGTTAAATACTGTCCCGGCAAGCGACGGATTTTAAACTTAGTTCGGTAATCCATTCAGTTCGCGGTTCCTCACAAACGAGCTGCGCTACTATTGTATTATAAAGTCAAATGCTTTGATTCATGCATAATTTTATGCAAATTTATATATAACCTAATGCAATCAATAATTTTAATAATAGTTTTTATTTTTTATATCTTTCATAGATCATAAAGTTTAATCTAGCGTTGAGATGTCTTTAGTTTGACTTTTATACAGCAATACAACAAACCGATTATTTAATTATAAATTAAAACTTTCTTTCAAACTCACCGCCCCATAATTGTTTAAAATAAAGACAAACTCTCCAGAAACACAGTCCAACACAAATCCTTATGCACTTTAAAACCAAACGTTATATCCCAATACTTGAAATCAACACTTTCAACGTCCGACGGAAACTTGAAAAACTTTTCTCGGGCGGAAAAAATCCGGGCGGCGGGAGGGCACGCGCGCTGCCGACGGCGCTCGGCGACTCACTGAGCCAGCGACTGGAGCCTCCTCCCGCTGCGAACGCACCACCAAAACGATCCACTCAGTTACATAGTAAGATCGAAATTTGATCGCAGTTAGAACGCGCACTAAGACGGCCAGTTGGCTATTTAGACCGAAAAAGGTGGTTTATACGCATGCGCGCGGTCGTTCAACCCTTGCAGTGATGCTGCAGGCCTGATGAGCCACATTAAGCTGGGTTACGTGGGTCGAGTTGTAATGGTTAGATACCTGTGCCAGCGGCGGTGGCAGTGACTGTGGCCTAGCGGACCTGCTGGCAGTCGCAGTGGCCGGTTACAATGCCTTCCTAGTACCACCAATCATAATACCTTCCTTGTAAAAATCTTCCCGATTAGAATAGCTTTGCAAAAAACATTTTTAATTACTTTTATATTCCAGTATCCTGTTAAGGATTCACAGTTCATTAAATAGCAAGTTAAACAAAACGCCTAAAATAAATCAACCTTTATTGAAAATATGTCTTCACGATGAATATGATAGTTTTAAACTTGACATCGGAATGTTTACCTCCAAGCGACATAGGAATAATTTTATAAGCTAAGTACAAATAGAGGCACTCTTTGCATAATAAGTCGCTAGTGAACAGGCGTCCATTACAAGGCTGTAGCTCCAGGCCAGTTCCTGGAAGACAGTCGCTGAAGGCTACAGGCCTGTAATACTACCTTGACGATTAATGTCTAGTTTAAGATAAGGCTTTGTATAATCATCAACAAAGTTTATTCAGAACATATCATCTTCTGAAAGTTTACTAAGGAGGTAATTTACGGAAATGTAGGTTCAGTTTTTGTTTTTTTTTTTATAGCATAACCCGGTAAACGAGCAGACGGATCACCTGATGGTGAGCAATCGGCGTCGCCCATGGACACCCGAAACACCAAGGCGTTACAAGTGCGTTACCGGCCTTTTTTTGGGAATTGGGAATTTGAGGATTGTGGAGGATTCGGGGGTTTGGAAGACTAGGGAGGGGGTAATTGGGTCTCCGGTAACCTCACTCACATGACGAAACACAACGCAAACGTTGTTTCACGTCGGTTTTCTGTGAGGCCGTGGTAGGTATCACTCCGGTCGAGCCGGCCCA